CCCCAAAACCCCAAAACCCCAAAACCCCAAGATTTATAAGATTATTGAATTTTATTTATTCATCCTCTTGCAAAAATGAAAACTCTTTTTTCTCGAGTTTTTCTACATGTTCAGATATTAATTTATGCCTCCAGTATTGTTCTCCTTCATTCTTGAAACTCACAAGCTTTTGTTGAGATTTATAACTATGGCTAGATTTTCTAATCGAAGACTTTGTATCATTTAGAAGTATAGAGCAATGTGACCTAGGAGAATCTTTTTGAGGAACTAGAAGGTCTTTTTCAAATCTTTCCATTCTTTCTTGGTGGGCTCTGAAAATTTCATCATTTTCAGCTAGCTCTCTTGCTCTAACTTGGTGAAGTTCTCAGACATTTATCTTATTATCATTTAGCTTATTATCATTTATTCCACCGAAAATAAGTATTTCTGATCGAAAAATTACAGAGCAATGTGAATATACAGGGTTGGGAATCTCTCCTTTCATGATCACTTTGATCCACTCAAATGTATTCGCTTTGAGAATGTACATATCATTTAGAATATTTTCTTTTGCTCTTACTCCCACATTTGGTGTTCTTCCTCCAAACACAATAACTGAGTTCATGAATTCTACAAAATGCATTGAGTGCCCATAGCGAGGAGAGGGTGGCTTTCCGAGAACTTCAGGTTTGATCCAATATGGCTTTGGGATTCCAACCTTCAGAATCCATAAATCATTTGATGGAATATTTCCTCCAAAAATATAAACTCCCATTTCTTTAATAGTAGGATTTTCTAATTTTTTGATTGGAATATGACTTTTGAACAAGTCTAAGTTGTTCTTATTCAACATATATGGGTGCATTACAAGACAACTCTTATGATGAGATACAGCATCTGGCTTACTTTTAATTTTGATTCTTTGCCAGAACTGGGTTTTGAAGCTAAAAACATAGATATCATCCAAAACTTTGGACTTGTTATTAAGCCCTCCATGTACTAACATATAGTTCCCTACAACTTCGCAGATGTGGTTTCTTCTATATGTCATTTCTCCATTAGAGTTGATTTTATCCCATCTTAGGTAATTTGTATTGAAAACATAAAGGTCTCCATAAGTCTCTCTGATCTTGATGCTTTCGATGTATCTTCTATATCCGCCATAGACATAAATGTTAGACTTATAAACAACAGCTGTATGACCATGACGAGGTTCTGGCTGTGTATCCTGTTTATCAAATTTGAGAGGGAACCACTTTCCCTTTTGAATATTAAACACATTTATATCCTGTAACATATATGAATTTAGACCACCAATAAGAACAATGCATTCTTCTCAGAATACTCAAGCGGCTTGCTCTCTACTATTTGGGGACCATGAAGAAATATCTTTAGTCTTCCAGTAGAATAAAGGTGGCTCTTTCGAAAATTGATTACTTATCGATCTGCTGTCAAAACCCATCATTTGAGGCATCTGGATAATCTTCGTAAAAGGATTATCTGGGATAGAATTCGGAAGTGACTTTTTTACACTTCTCAGGATAAACCTAGCTATTCCTGCTCGTAAAGCATTTGGATCCATTTTTGCTGTCTTCCGTTTTCCTTCATATTCAGGGAGCTGTCTGATTCTAATTTTAGGCTGTTTCCTGTAACTCTTTCTTGCAGTATTGATTAACCTCAAATCCTTCAGAGTCTGTATAGGTTTGGGAGTATTCTTATGAAGTTTGAGTCGGAGGCTTGGCACAGAAGTGTTCCTGACCATATCTACAAATTTCTCAGTTCTAATCCCCTCAACAACTCTGTTAAATTCATTCTTGATAATTTTATTAGAATTAACCATTTTGAAGGCATCTCTTGGTGACGAATAAACTATCTTAGACTTTATTGTAACAAAGGGAGTTTGAAGATGAAGAGGATCATATTTCTATAGTTTGTCAACCAATATATGTTCATACTTGTTGGTGATTTCTTCCTAAATGTAAAGTTAGTGAAAAATTAATAAAGATTAAGATAAAATTAGTTTACCAGTCAAATCCTGGCTATTTTTACTATGGCTTCTGCTTTTGAATGCTCCAAAATTGCTGAGAGTTTCGCCTAAACTAGATCTTCTCCCACTTCATTGAGAAATTCTATGACTAAGTTTGCCTTCAGATTGCTTGTATTTTGGGAGAACATTCATTGTCTGATAGAAGGCAGGAGAAGTTTCTTCGAACTTATTAATCTGATTATTATCAGAGTTAATCCTTCCACTAATTTTATCAAAAAGGTCTCTCTCAGTTTGGTTAGCTGAAGTGTCATATTCATTGGCCATCTCGAAGCAATTATCTGAAGGATTTTGATAAGTCCTATATCTATAATTTATTCCTTACTTCTTGAAAATGCTCATGAGAGGGTGTGAGCCTGGCTGAGAAGCTAACTGGCTGATGCTTTTAGTCTTAATTTCTTCCTTTATTTTCTTTACCTTTAACTTATTCCTAGATCTCTTTGTTTGCTCCATATTTTTAATTATTTTGGGGTTTTGGGGTTTTGGGGTTTTGGGGTTTTGGGG